AGAGAGAGAGAGACGACGACGTACTAGTAGTAGTCTTCCTTACTACTACCAACTAAGTAGAGTAGTACTACTTCTTATTACTACTAGTTATATATATATATATATATATATATATATATATATATATAGTGAGAGAGCTATCTTGTTATACACTCGTAGACATAGAGGGAGTAAGTGAAAAGAAAGAGGGAGAGAATGATATAGCTATGATATTGTGATGCAGCAGGTAGGGTAAGAAACTATAAAAGCAAGAGAGTGCTAAAAGCATTATGATGAGGACCCGAAAAACCAGCGAAGTGCTTGGTCTAGTCAGTGCAAAGAGCAATATTGTCAGGACCAGAACAATGCTCAAACCAGCAAAGGGCTTGGGTCCAGTAAAACTGGTCCGGTTGTGATGAGTCCAGTTGGACCATTTTTTTAAATATTAAAAAACTAAGAAGTTGATTAAAATTTTAATATTCAATAAAAATAAGGAAGAATTACTATTACTGTGATTATAATGCCAAAAATTATCCTATCTATGACACCACCATTCATCAATTATTATCATCCATGCTCCATAACATATAATTAAGTAAAAGATATTTGACTTTTCCAGACTATAAAGAAACTACAACTCATGAATTTAGACCAAAGGAAAGAGGAAAGGAAACCCACAAACACATGTCCAGTTAGTGGGGTATGCGTGTGTGTGAGAAAGAGAGCATGTAATTCAATGCGAAAAAGAAAATAAGTATAATAAAATACAAAAACCTGGCATTAGAATTTATTTGAAAAAAGGAAGCAAGGTAAGTTTCCTTTTAACATTGACAAAATCTTGAGACTTTTTTAGTGTAATTTTTGGCAATTAAAAGCTCCAACGCAATCAAAATAAGAAAAATGTAAAAAAACAATGAACAAAAATCGCAAGAAAACTTGAAATGGCTAGATCCAATGCCAGTTTTGAACAACAAATGCAAGAAAACTTGAAGAGATGTAATGCCAGTTTTGATTGGTTCTTTTGTCAATCCCGGTTCATTATCTTCATCGGACAGGCAAAGGGATTTTAGGTTTTACCGGTCTGAATGCAGGCCTGGTTCCAATCATCATAACCAGGGCAAAACCCATGAGAGGAACACAAGATTTTTAAACAAAAACAATAATACTACTAAATTGCCTACAATGGGTCCATGGCCACCTTTTGAAAGGAAATGAAACATAAACCCTAACTTAAAAAACCAAGGAAAGAACCTAAACCCTAAAACTCCCCCAACCAAGTCCCTGTACATCAGAAACCCCCAAGTCAATTTAAATCCCTTCAAGCATCCACTTATATAAAAATAGATTGGAAATGGATAAAGTACAGACAATAAAACACTAAGACAATTTTCTAAGTTCATTATTTTTATGACAACTTCTTAGACTAAGATTTGATGCTGAACAAATTACACAAAATGCTCAGAGGTAGCCTTTATAGATAATGGACAGATCTTGAAAATGAACTAGGAATCATCCTCCCCCACCTAGAGAAAACCTGTACTACTTGACTTTAATTTGCTCACTCTTTAGGGAGGCTTTCTAGCAATTGGTAGATGAGTCCACTAGTACTTAAGTTCTCTTTCGATATCGATATTCCACCATAATTCATCGTTTGATGGATTCCATCTCCATATGTTGAGAACCTAAGACCCTAGAATTCTTGCTTTTGACAAGTACATTACAAACAAATCCTCCAATAGTTTCCCATAAACGAAAATATTTTTGCATGCAACCAACTTCTTTCGAATATTGCTTTGGCCACATATAACTAGAGTTATAATATGATCTGATCAAGCCTAATCTAATGCTTCAGAGATGAAATAAGAATTGGGCACTGTAATAAGTCCTCACATGGGGTAGATCATAACAATCATGCGACTACAAGTGGTAAAGAACACAATTTTTATACAAATACAATAGTAAATAAAAATTGACTAGAAAGGAACCATAGCAGGCTTTCTATAAGCAAGTGAAGTCCTAAACCCCGCATAAGAGCCAACACATATATTTTTGGTGGGGGAAGGTTCTACTGATTGACATGCACTCGA